AGGTGATCTCTAGAGGTCCCTTCCATCTCAACCGTTCTGGGATTCTGTAATTTTACAGATTTATTATGAAAATACATATGGCACACCATCCCATGCTAAATGCTTTTATACCTAGCAGTATTGTACCAATACTCCCCTCCACGTCAGACAGTCTGCACATAAGGGCTGGTTCGTATTTCCACAGCTAGTGGAGGCAAACCACGTCTTTGCTTTGAGCTTCAGCTTAGGAAGAGCATGGAGGAAGCTGTTTCTATCAGTTTCTAAATACCTTTGTAATACTTCTCCTGAAAATAGTAAAGATAAGTAGTAGTAAAAATGATCATTAATAGTTTATGATGAGAGTTTGGAAGTCAGCATTCCTCTTCCTGCCAAAATGACAGGGATACAGTTTCCAGGAGAGTGGTTGGCAAAGTCTTAGCTGCCTGCATTGTGCAGAAACCCCTTCTGCAACCTTGGGGTGCCCCAGAGCAAAGGGACCAGGCGAAAGCTTTGCAGGTCCTGCCACTCTCTGAGACTCCTATGGACACCCCATAACTTGTGGAAAACCTGGACTATTTCATTTGAACTGCCTGAATTTCAGAGGTAACACACACAGGTCCTCCATCAGCTGTAGGAAGTTATTGCTCTTGGTCAGCAGGCAAGAAAGCTTCACATGCTGCTGAGAGTCACAGATCACTTCTTCCTTACCACAAGATGTGAGAGGTACTTGCCTCTGTAACCTTTTTTATACCAATAAGCATATTTTGTTTCAGTGACTTGTTTCTCCCTCTGTGCTGTGCCTGGTCCTCAATCCTAAATCCTCCATCGCTGTATGAAATAGCTCAGGAATATCTGCTCTTCCTTCCCTGTCTTCTGGAGTTCCATGGAGTTCATTAAGTTGTTGCTGATTTCTGTAGTGCAGAAATTTCTCATGTGCAAATGAGATTTTCTGTCTCCCTGGTAACACTCTGAAGCTGCTCCTGCCTTCCCCAGCAGCACAGGGGAAGGCTGCAATTCACTTCCAAGAGAGCAGCACAAATCTTAAGACTTTCCCGAGCGTCTCTCGTGTATATGCTCTTCCTGAGGGTCCCAAATCTCTAACGAGATACTTCAGACTTGCTTGATACTTCAGACTACAAGGCTTTGTAGAGGAAACACAAATCAGCACCAGAGACCTCTAACTTCACCCTCAAAAAAAAGGAAAGAGAAAAGAAAAAGATCTTGTCAAGCTGAAGAATAACTGTTTATCATTTCTCAGCTGTGATTAATGATTAAATTGCAATGGGAATTTCTAATTAATATCTGTTTGTGTATGGGAACTGAAATCCTTGTCGTTACTGAATGTTAAGTCCACTGAGGTTTCTTTGCTGAAGGGAAGCTATCGCAGCATGTGAGGCAGATCTTACCAGACCTTTAGATAATGAGATTAAGGTCTTCAACCCAAACTTACATTGGGCATTTTCTTTTCAAAGAACAGTAGCTGTTGCCTGATACTGTAGTTGTCTGTCATCAACTGATTGCCAAAATATATGTATGAGTGAAGAAGTGGAAATGGTGGGTTAACAGCTGAATTTGATCTTCAGGCAGTGCAATAAAAAAGCACTGAGGTTTCAAAAAAGAATCAAGTCCTTTTTCTGAGAGGGATATCTCATGGTAGTTCTTCATTTGGGAATGAATTAGCTTTAAAAAGTGAATCCTTGGAAAATAAGAACAGATATTCTGTAGTTCTTATTTGCTGCCCAGTTTTCCTCCTAATTAAATTCAAGTAAATCAAATAGTATTGAAATCACTCACAGTATTAGAAGAGGTCTGTCACCTTACATGCTCGATCAATGAAAGCAAATGAGTGGGAAACAGATATTTTAGAAAGAACAAAAATGCTGTTTGGCAGCAAAGGGCTCTCAACAAACTTTCTAAATTAAAACGTCTTTCATCAAACAAGAGAACAGTATTTCAGGTGCAACAGAAATTCTCCATTACAGTCCTTCCTTCCAAGTCTTCAGAATGGAATAGTGAATCTTGCTGAGGCTTTCTGAAATAAAACATGTGAAATAAACATGTAGGCCTGTGTATACAGGATGGTTTTACATTAGCAATCAGCGTGGTTGGTATAGGTTAGCCCTTGCTCTCTGCACGCGGCCATCGTAAGCCTGCTAATGGCTAGAGCAGCTTTCCAGAGATAACAGCTGTGTTCTTATTAGTGTAAGCATGGACAGTCAGGACACTTCCCAAATAGGTAAAGGTCTTCTCTTCCTCTCCTACAAATCCTTTCCATTACCTTTTTCTTTTGGTTGACCAATACATCATATGATACCAGATTCCTTCAGACTAAGTTATTTGGAAGTTTGGTATGTCATGAAGAAGAAGGAATGAAGAGAAATGAAACCTGAGTAGAGAAATAACACTAGCTAGAAGAGCTGTTTTAAGCCCAAGGTGCAGCTGGGCTTGCTATGTGCGTCTTTTAGAAGACAGCAATTTTGTGGAGGGAGAGAGAGATCTTTTGTAATTAGTTTTCTAGGCTGCTTCTGTCCTCACTTTCAGAAACGCTGTGGAATTGATACCTGTTCCTCAGCTCCCATAGTGTCTGTGCCCCAGTAAGCATGGCTGTCCATAGGGATGAAAAGAATCCTTCTCTCATGAAATGCTGGACCTTGAAGAACACCAGAAGATGTTCTGATATGGAAGGGATCAAGAGAGGGACAATTCTGTGCTAAATATGAATTTCAATCTAGGAATCTCTATGTCAGACAAGCTGCTTTGGTGCATTGTGTTTTTTCCAAGTCATCTTTAAGGAAGTTTGTATTGCAGAGCACCATGAAATTTGTAGCACCAACATGGAGTTGGTATTTCTCAGCTCTCAGCCTCTTCCCGAGGACACTTCCAAGGGCCAGGCTCAGAGCAAAGAGCTAAGGTGTCCCCAGGCGTCCCAGCCGGGGACAATGTCCCACAGTGGCTGACTGACATGGAGGGATCTCAAATGAAAAGTCAGAGGTGAAGTAATTTTTGCTTTCATAATCTCTGTGGGATAATTTATGCTGCTATCTGCATCTGCACACCAAGGAGATTTTCCTGCCTTAATTACAATGCTGTAATTAAGGAGGTGCCGCTCTGCCTTGCTGGAAGCTCTGTGAATTGCTGGAGCAGGGTCTATGCACTCAATACCACTAGTCAGAGGCAGCTTCCTGAAAGCCTATAATTTATCAGTAATACATCTCATTTCCATACTTCCACCACCATCCAGAATGTAAGTATGGGGGTATGTTTGCTAAAAAAGGGAAGACAGAAGAGATTAGTATAAAAATTAGAAGAAATTAGTATAAATCATTGGAGAGGCAGTTGCTGCTGTTTGTCTGATATGCCTGCATTTCACACTGTCTTACTTTAGGTATTTTCAGATCTTTAATAAACCCAGCACAGCTGATCTCTCTTTATTGCTTCTTGTTCTAGTGCTCACGATCTCACAAAATGGGATCTGTTCAGTAACTGCTACAGATTACTGAGAACTGGAATTGAACACGGAGCTATGCCAGAACAGGTACCCTTAGCCTTGCATACATACATGCTTCGGGGATTCAGGTGTTACAGAGCTTTTTTTTTGAAAGAAATTACTGTTGTAATGAAGTGTCATCCAAGGAGTGAAAAATTGTGGATTTTTTTTTCCTGTTTTTTCTCTTGCTCTATGTGATTTTGACCAACCTCCTTTCCTCACCTTTCTCATCTGTAAAATAAAGTTGTGTTCCTGGCTGCACTGGCGCAGAGTTAGAGCCTGCCTGTCTTGGCCCTGCACATTTCCACAGCCCGTGTGTACACATGGCTCAGAGCTGTGGGACTCTCTGCTCTCTCTGCAGTTGCTCCTTAAGGCTACCTGATTTTATTTATTTATTTATTTGAAGCTGGGCTGCATGTTCTTTTGGTAATGATATGGAATTCCTGATTACTGTGTTAGGAAATTAAGATGTAAAGATATTTAAATGGATGCTTTTGCACTGAGATATACAGTTGTTGACTTTTTCTTCTCTTATGTTGTGACACCATTTTTTACTACCTCCTAACACTGTTTTCTGCTTTGTTTTGCTTCCAAGTATGTACATAGTATTTTATCACCAATCATAAACTGGTTCTTTCCTGCACCAGACTGAGGAATAACACTGTATCCTTGAAAACAAAAAGCATTGCCAAAGAGCTGCTCCTCTTTTTCTTTACCTGTGTTTTAGTGATCTGCTTGATGTTTCCAGTGTGCTGCGATTCACAGTGTTCCCTCTGTTACAGATAGTTGTTCAGGCACTGCAGTGTTCCCATTACTCTATTCTCTGGCAGCTGGTGAAAATCACTGAAGGCTCCCCTTCCAAAGTAAGTAGGGATTCAAGCAATTCTGCTGGAGACACAGAATTTGCCTAAATATGCATTAGACCTGAGCTTTAATAACTTGACCCCATGCAGAGGTGATATAAAATATTGTGTTTTCATTTGTTTAAGGCTTTTACGATCTGTTTGTCAGAAATTTGCCTAAGCAAACCATACAGACAACAGTGAAAGCCTGACTGTATTGGGGTTTAGCCCTCTTGATTTTTATGTTTTTATTGCTGAAGATAATGTGCTTTGTTGTGAGCACAGCGAATTGCATGGACAGGTAAGTGATGTTGGCAATGCTTACCAAATAGCTGCAAATGGTACTGTTGATTTCTGCACCATGGAGAGCTGTTTTATTACTGTTTTTACCTTTTACTTCATTTTTTTTATGTTGCTAAGTATAAAGATCAGGTTGCTATCAGTGACTAATAAAAAGTAAGCACATGGAAACATAATGCAGTAAGGACAATGTTACATCTAAATTATTTTGTTTAGCCTTTCTTGGATCTTTTCTTAGCTTTTTTTTTTTTCCTCAATCGCAGGGTAAAATTAGGTCTTTTTAGATCGGTTTCAAAAGTATTACAACAAATTAAAGCTTGTGAAAATGAATAGTATGTGTACTTCCCCAATAGCTTCAAAGAAAGAGCAAAATACTATAAAAATAAGCATTTAATGTACATAAAAAATGACAGAATGCATTGTAAATAATTTTCTGGAATATGGATATATTTGACATTCTAAAATAACTTCTGGAGAATAAGAACCATTATTATTCTGTATCCTCCACATTGCCCTTACTCATCCTTTCAGAGGTGCTTGTTCAGTCTCTTTACAGAATCCCAGAATGGTTGAGGTTGGCAGGGACCTCTAGAGATCATCCAATCTAACCCCCTGCTCCAGCAGGGACACCCAGGGCAGGGGCACAGGGTGGCATCCAGGTGGGTTTGAAGATCTCCAGAGAAGGAGCTTCCACAGCCTGGGTTTCAGTCCTGTCACTGGCCACCACCGAGGAGAGTTTGGCCCCATCCCCCCTACACCCTCCCCTCAGGTGCTTGCACACGTTGATGAGATCCCCTCTCCGGCTGCTCTTCTCGGGCCAAGTCCCACAGGCCGCAGGCGAAGGAAGACACAACGAGCGCCACAAGAGCACACGGCCTCCTCATCTGCCCCTGCTCGCTACCCCCGTGCTGGTGCCCAGGCCCCTCGATACACCACCTCTTAAATCTCCACGCCCCGAGACGTCCCTGAAACCCAGAGCC